GAGTTGGGCTTGTTCAGCCTGGAGAAGAGAAGGCTGCGGGGAGACCTGATTGCGGCCTTTCAGTACCTAAAGGGGGCCTATAGGAAAGATGGGGAAAATCTTTTTAGTAGGGCCAGCTGTGTCAGGACAAGGGGTAATGGTTTTAAACTAAACCAGGGTAGGTTTAGACTAGATATAAGGAAGAAGTTCTTTACAATGAGGGTGGTGAAACACTGGAACAGGTTGCCCAGAGAGGCAGTGGAGGCCCCATCCCTGGAACCAGGTTGGATGGGGCTCTGAGCAACCTGATCTAGTTAGCGGTGTCCCTGCTCCTGCAGGGGGGTTGGACTAGATGACCTCTAGGGGTCCCTTCCAACCCAAAACATTCTATGATTCTATGATTCTATGATTCTATGATTAAGTACATTGAGACATGGTCATAACTTGTGGAGTAACACAGCCTGAAGCATAAAATGAAAGAAGTAGTATTTCATACCATTTTTACCCTGCTAAATCATGGAATTATAGAATGGTTTGGGTTGGAAGGGACCTTTAAATATCATCTAGTTCCCCCCCTCCTGCCATGGGAAGGGTCATCTTGCACTAGACCAGGTTGCTCAAAGCCCCGTCCAACCTGGCCTTGAACACTTCCAGGCATGGGGCATCCACAGCTTCTCTGGGCAACTTTTTCCAGTGTCTCAACCACCCTCATCATAAAGAATTTCTTCCTTATGTCCAATCTAAATCTATCCTCTTTTAGTGTAAAGCTGTTACACCTTGTCCTATCACTACAGGCCTTGGTAAAAAGTCTCTCTCCATCTTTCTTATAAGCCCCCTTTATATATTGAAAGGATGCAATAAGATCTCCCTGAAGCCTTCTCTTCTCCAGGTTGAACAAGCCCAACTCTCTCAGCCTTTCTCCATACCAGAGGTGTTCTAGCCCTCTGACCATTTCCATTGGCCTCCTCTGGACCTGCTCTAACAGGTCCATGTCTTTCTAGTACTGGGGATCCCAGAACTGGATGCAGTGCTCCAGGTGGGGTCTCACCAGAGCAGAGTAGAGGGGGAGCATGACCCCGCTGGACCTGCTGGCCATGCTGCTGGTGATGCAACACAGGACACGATTGGCTTTCTGGGCTGCAAGCGCACACTGCCCACTCATGTCCAATTCTTAGTCCACCAGTACTCCCAAGTCATTCTCCACAGGGCTGCTCTCAATCCATTCTGTCACCCAGTCTGTACTGATACTGGAGATAAAGATCCCATTTTTTGGCAAAATGTGTTTCATTGGCTTTCTATGAAGCATCTAAAAATGCGTTCTCATGCCTTCTGATGCTCTTCTTACAAGGAAGATTAGATCCATGTTTCTATTTGTGGAGAGCTTTTTCTTCTGGAGGGATACCCAAGAACTCTGCTTAGATTCGCTGGTTTTCTTGACTCTTCCAGTTGTTCGTGAACTCTCTCAGTTCCTCGCCCTGCCAAGGATTTTATAATTTTATACAACTCCTCAAAATACACAGTGTCACCATTTGTGTATGTGTAAATTGTAGGGCAATTTTACTGCTCAGCCAAACTTTTCTGAAGGTTGTGGCTCGCAAGGGCTTTAGGACTTCCTATGGGACTTTTCAGGTATATGTCAACACAATACTTCCCCCCCACTCCCCCTCTTCCTTTAGTTTCCTTATAAATTATGGTTGGGGCGAGTCACTACAGCACCACCTCATTTTATTAGAAATGGGATCTATGACATTGCAAAGGCAAAAATATGTTTCTAGTGCTTACCTACCCAGAAAGACCTGTACTGTCCTAAAGCCCCTCTCCAAGACACTTGAATATGCAGATGACAGGGTCAGCTGCCCCAAAGAAGCACTTTTTTTCCCCATCTTAGTTGGAGGTGGGAACCTGAGGGACAGGCAGACAGTGGGAGACAAAAACTCCCACAGCCACTGAAAGGTGGATTGTTCCCTCTCCTGAATTACCAACTTTAGGTTTTAATGCCACTTCTGAGACCTTCTCTTCTGAACTGAGCCTTCATTTACGTCCACCATAAGGAAATCATTGTATATGTTCATCCTGATAGCAAGTGAAGTATGAATGCTGAGCTTTGTAGGAAAGTGCAGTGTGTTGTTGGGCATCTGGGAAAAGTATTAACTCATTACAGCTGAAAGGATCATGCTGAGGAAGAGGAGTCTGGGGTGGGAATTCAGCAAGCCAAACCAGCTTTTAGCGTCATAGAAAATCTCCAGGAGCTGTGTGTCCTTCTAACCATTTGGCATCACTGTTAACACTGGCACCAGTCTCCCATCCTTCCTTTTTTGCATCTTTTTTTGTCCCACATTGAGTTCCTGGTGTTTTTCTCCAGCCCCCCATGGGCCAAGGCACTGCTCCTGCTGCAATTCCAGAGGATACTCCAGCTTCACCTTCCCAGAGGGATATCATTATTTCAGGAAGGAGGATCTCACCACCCCCTAACATAAATAAAGCAGACACACCCCAACTACTGTCTGCCATGCATCCTCATCTTTGTCTCCTCATCCTTTCCTTTGCATCCGATCTCCTGTATTTTTAGCTTGCAGGTCCCCCTTGGGAAAGGGCCTGTTGTCTTGTGTCGCCACCAGTGTTTTACAGAGAACAAATAAGAGTATTTTCCAGCCCTCTTCACTAATCATATCACTAACCCTGAGCATCTTGGTGCTGCAGAATTAATTGAAGTGAATAATCTGCTGGATCTGCTCAGGGAGCAGTAAGGACCACCTGTCTGGGAGGAGGAGGACCAGCCTGGGCTTGTAGACATTCGTGGGTGTTGAGTACAGAGCCCAGCTGTAGCAGGGCAGGCACATCTTCCAGTGCAAGGCTTTAACCTCACATTGTAGGCATCTCATTTTGTGGTGGTGAGGTTAGCAGTGTTGGAAGACCTTCTGTCTTGACACAGATGGGGGCTTTCACTGGCCCAAGGAAAGGTAGCGGGCTATTAAGTTTCTGCAACTTGCCTAGAGAAGTGAATAGTCTCCTCTGGATATGTGTGGGTCCTAGTTATCACCCTAAGCGTAGCATGCATACACAGAACCTAATGCAATCATTTTTCTGTGGGTGAACCAAAAAAAGGAAAAAAAGATTAAAGAATTGTCATTGTAGATGAAAATGTTAAGTGATTTAGTTTTCACAGTGGTGAAAACTTACAGCTGAGTCCCTCAACAGCCCTGGACTAGAGCATCAGTATTTTAAAATAGAAGAAATCCTGTTAGTACTGATATTTTTTCTTTGCCTTTCAGCATGCACATCTCTGAAAGCCAACAAGAATTCTTCAGAATGCTTGATGAAAAAATTGAAAAGGTAAGACAATAAAGTAAACATACATTTTCACTCAGGGGGTGGACACACATGTTTCCCAACTCCACAGGGAGGACGACCCGACACTGTTGCAGCACTCCACGTTCTCCAGTACTTGGAGGGACTCTGGTCTGAGATCCCCCTTACTGCTAGATAGTTCAAGTGCAAAGAATACCAAAAAGGTAAAGAGATTACAGGAGGTACTGGAAGGAAACCTTTGATTTGTGGAAATATCATCAGTCTAGGAAGAATGGTAAATTAACTCAATGCAAACATTCAGGATATACATGGACTACTGGATAAAGCAGAAGAGCTAAGTGAGGTTTTATGCCCTTAGTGACTTGATTTTTCCTTTAATGTCTGTGGGAGACAACTGGAATCTTAATGCCAGTAGTATCTGGAATACCCTTCTTCTTGCTGAATGTCTTTAAACTAGCTCCTGGCTCCAGAGGTTATGAATAGTGTGGCTGTATGTATGGATAACCCTGCCTCAGGGCCTGAGTAAAATATTGATGCTGGAGATGTTTTGAAGAGAGTGACTAGTTCTTCACATATCTCATTGCCTTGATAGTAGCTTTCATGTGTTTCACAAACCTTTTAAATGAGAATCCCAGCTTCTTTGTGAGATAGTATTGAATAATTGTACCACAACATCAATATGAAACCAAGGTTTGAGGAATTAAATGGGCTATTTGGATCAAGTCTAAATCTCAGTCTTTGCTTATACCTTGAGCTGATGTTTGCTCACCAATATACTCTTTACTCTTTATGTTTTGGAGTGGTGTATCTTATTAAATGCTTGATATTAAATATTTGCTTCCCTAACTGGAATAAAGCAATCTGTACTCTCAAATTGTAGTGTTGGGTTGCAGAGTAGGAGGGAAATTTTTACTTGGATGACTCTGAATTTATGCCATTTTTGCCAACACTCCTGGTCTTGGGAGTTGGAGTGCTACAGCGGGTGAATCTCTTATTTGTCCCAAGTAATACATTTGTTACACTACTATTAAAAAAAAAATAATTAATGAAAGCAAAAAGTTAGATTAAGAGGAAGAGTAGAAGTGAGGAGTTGTTTGTAGATTCCTGAGAAGAGTATTTCTATACCAGTATTTCACAGGAGTAAGATTTTACTTAACCTATATGCATTTAAAAGGAGAATTTCTACATGGCCATAACATAGTGATGTCTCCTTTGAATAAATGCATTCACCCTGTAAACATTTAGATGCTTTTCCTGGACATAATCACCTTTCATAATGTCAAACACAGAATCCCCAGTGAAATGGATTTTTCCAAAGATCTGTCTTATCCACATACCAGACCATCTGATGGCCATATCTAATTATGAATTGAGGATAGTTTTTATTTTCAAGATTTATTTCAGGGCAGTAATACCATTTGTTCACCAGCTGCCACATTGAGATGCAGTTGACCGTGTTTCCTTGCTGTTCGGACCATGCGCTCAGATGCTTGCAGGTGTTCTCCAGGGCTCTTTTACTAATTTATCTTCTAAATCATTGATTGCCTATTTAGAGGAAATACAGAATTTTATCTGTCAAAAAGGTAAAGATGGCTCCCGTGCGTTTCAAGCTGCTGACAGTTGATGGGATTGCAGGACTTGATGCACAGCTGAACATGGGATTTGCTTTCTCTGGGGACCTCCTGTGCCTGAGGGAATAGTCTTCCTAAGAGAAGTTTTGGGATTTTTAATTAATCTTTGCCTGAATACATTGCTTTTCTAGGCATCCACCACAAGTTCCAAAAAGATTGGAAAATATGAGGGGTTTTGTTTGATCCCTAAATAGCATTTTGAGTTTCTTCTCCAGGGAAACGAAGGACAGCAGTCAAACAATTAAAAGAATTACAACACTGAGTAGCTCACCAGTTACAGCTGAAATAGTCTGCAGAAGTGGGGGGGCATTGCCTATGGTTGACGAGGTCCCAAAACATGTTGTAATGTTCACATGGTAACCGTGGCCACGAGTAGCGTTGGATTTCTCGTGGAGACACGCTGTCCATCACTGACTCCATGGGCTATGTCTAGAGAAGCTCTACAGTTAGAAGCAAAACATCCCTCAACTTGTGTTGAATTCCCAAGGGATGTTAGGTCACCTAATACAAATGAGTAACAACTCTTAATATGCATGCTATGAATTAGACAGGAAAATTAAACGGGTGTTTTGATGCAGCAAAACCATTAAATGGACAGGAAGTCAGCTAAAATAAAATTTCTGCAATCAAAGTGTGAAATGGAAAGAACACAGGCTGATGTTCTAGCAATGGAAAACATGAAGTATTTGTGAATCCTGGAGATCAAAAAAAGCCTTAATGAATGGTCTGGAGAATTCCTCTGAAAGTCTAACCCCTGTCGGTACCCAGCATGCGCCCGTGTTCCTCACTGCCCATACAAAGCTGAACAGCCTTCTGCAAATGCCACCTAAAGGTGAAAAACAGAATGTCAACCCCAACGCGTGGAGCTTCTGTCTACCAAAATTCAGTGTCAAAACACTGTGAGGCATTCAGAGGGAGACATCTGTTCCTATCTCTGCGTGAGTGTCTGTCCCCATGCAGAGAGCTAGAGCTGAACTTGCATGTATGGAACTGTGTGTGATTATGGTAAGTCAATCCGTGGGGTTTGTTGGAAGGAAGGAACACTGAAACGAAGGCTCGGCGCTGAATGCTGAGGTAGGACTGACTGAGAACATAGAAGTTGGCCTCGCACTTAGAGTTAGATGTTGGTTCTGCTGGAGTCAACCCAGTCATTTCAGAGGCAACAGAATTTGAGTTGAAGAAAACCCCAAAACCTGATGAGAAGCAGAGATACAAAGTTATGTGGGAGGCTGGGAGTAGCTGGGTAGAGTTAAGCAGTCGACAGCACAGGGAACGGTAGTTATATGTCATATGTATCTGTCACACGTCAGACCACAGAGTGCTTCTTGTGATGGAGTTCCATAGCATAGCAACATGCATCCAGACAAATAGGAACCAGGCGACTAAAAGGTTGCACCAATCTCTGCACAGCTGCAGGAGGGGTTTCAGATGTTGGAATGCTGGTGTAGTGGCAGAGAGTGAACATAGTTTCGGTGCAGCAGCAAGGCTGGATGTGCACTGCAGTGGGAGAGAAGAGGAAAAGGAAAGACCAAGTCACCTGTGAGCAGCATGAGGTCCGAGAGCTGTGACAAAAGCTGGCTCCAAAATGCTCCCCACATCTGCCAGCAGCTGCAGAAGTCCTCTCAGGGTTTCACACTTGCTGAAATTACTGTGAGTAGAGTCATGGGCTTTGCTTTTGGAGACAAAAAGGCACACGCATGCAAAGAGTTTGGGAAGAAAATAGAGCAGAGGCAGGCAGCTCACCTGGTGACAGCATTATAGTATTTTGAAAATTGGGCTTACCTAAAGTTGTATAAATGTATTCCAGCGGAGAATGAGCAACAGGTATTAGCAGCAATTAAGCTCTAGGAGAGACCCCTCTCAGAGTAAATTAGGAAGACATGGATCAGAGGTGCAAGTGATTTGCTTGAGCTGAGAAATCAAGGCAGAAATACGACTTCAGAAACTTGAGAAGGAAGCCGAGAGCGACTGACACATCCCTCCTAAAGCAAACGCAGCAGCTGCTGGATAAATCAGAGATCTTCTGTGTGATGCCCAGAAGAGAAGAAATGGGCCCCACCAGCCAAGCTGGGACGGGGAAAGTCACTGTACTCATCATGGTGTGATAAATCTGTTTTTTAAATATCGTCTCTGATTAAGAAGATAGAAATGTATGCCACTAACAGCATCCCTGTCTTCATGACACCTGTTTTTTTTCTGCTGGCTGCAGTGAGAAACTATAGCATAATTCTCCTAAAATTTCTCCAGTCTTTTTTTTTTTTCCTACCTCTCAACTTTATTTGGACCCCGATTGACAGGAGCACGTACAAACTCCACCTTACCCCCTAAGAAGAAATCCTCTTAATTGAACAGGATGGCTCAGAGTAGAGAGTTAATCCTGGGCACAGTCTTTGCAGCCTCAAGTCCAGACCTGAGGGGGCCTTGTCCCACCAAGGCTTCCATGAAAATATGAAATAAAAGCAAAATTAAAAGCTGTGACGTATAAAATGTTGAATGTGGAAAATATACCCCATTTAGAGCTTGCTAGCAAAAACATCTTGATGATGGCTATCATGGAAAATGGTCTGAAAAATTACTGCTTTCTCTGAATCCTACATACGGAGCAGCAAAATGATTATCAGAAATTAACTCCTTTAAGTATATATTATTACCATACGCTGTGGCACGGTGTGTAGGCAGCTGTCTCACTGTAAGAAAAAATACCAAGGCTGAGGTATAATTGAACAGTTGACAAGCAATTTCTAGGATTATATCTGGGTATTGTACCCCCAGAAGAGAAGCATCTCTGGCTTTATGGTTTAAAAAAAACCAACAAACCAAACCAAACCAATCCAGGTAGGCTGTACTAGAGGAAATCATCACCGGTCCCATCATCATAAGCTTTTTCCTACACGGCTACAGTGGTTTATAAAAAATAATCACAATGCAAACATGCTCATGGAAAAAAATGTGATTAAAAAATGTCATAGCACATGAGGTGTCTTACTAGGGACTCTCGTACAGAGCATCACGTTTCCACTGCTGCAGGGGATGTCTCTTTGGGTCGAGAGATGACTTAGTCTTGAACACCAGCGCCGGTGTCAGGATGGGTTTGCAGGGGTTTCTCCACCGATCCGCACACCTGGCCACCAGGAGCTAGCTTGGAGACGACAGGTTTGTTGTTGGAGGCCACGGGAGAGATGCCCGGCGGCAACTCGCTCCATCCCCTCGTTAGTAAAACTGGGCATGAAACCCGGGGGGAAGACACAATGCAGCTCCTTGTATCGTATTTAAAGAGTGCCGTTAGAAATAGGAGGGGTTGCTAACCGAAACGTATGCAGGGGCAGAATTATTAGGCTAAAACTCATTAGCAAAGTGGATTGCTCTTAATGACGCTATTGATTTTTCTCTAACAAAATAAGAAACTGACAAAAATTAGCACAGTATACAGTTTAGTGCTGCCTCCCAGCATTTTCTTCCCATCCTTTCTGCGAGTGCTGTAAACAAAACCAGATTGATGAAAAGGGTTCCCACCGCAGAGCCAGGCTAACGTTTCCCAGCGCGCCAGCCATCTCCTCTGAAAGGGGCCACTGTGTCCCGCAAGCTCTTTCAGCCGTCGCAGAAGAAAGGGCTGCTTGGTGCAGCTCATTTCCCTCTCCCAGGCCGGCCAGCCTCCTCTTCCTCCTCTCCTTGCCAGGGCTGCAGCGCAAGGATGCTGGTGCCAAGCTGCAGGGCTGTGGCGGAAGAAGCATCTCCTTAGCTGCCTCCTCTCCCTCGGCAAGTCTGCCAGCCACACAAAAGGCTATTGAACCAGGAAGGCTTCTGCATTCGGGCAGTGTGGGGTTTTGTTTATTGACCCGTCACCCGCCACAATGGGGAAAAGGGCTTTTCCTGTGATTTTTTTTTTTTCTTTTTTTCTCTAAAAGGATATCATTGGCTGTGATGCATGCCCTGGTAGGGGCATCAGGGTGGAAGCGCTTTCTAGATGCAGCAAGGGCAGAGAGCAGGGGAATGAGCCCTTCTGGTACAAGCAGCAGGAAAGGAGTGTAAAGCTTTTTTTTTCCTAAATTACCTTAAACACACACACTTGTGTTAAGGCGTTTCTTTGGACATCTACAAAAGTGGAAAGTTGGATTTTGAAACTGCAGGGGAGGAAGACGGGATTTCTCAGGAATTACCTGGCCTTGGATGCATATGTTCCCATTTTCATCTTCCTCAGTGCAGTTAATTTACACTCTCAATCATTGAAACTTATTTAATAGCCCAGCTATTAAGGGCTATTAAAGGATGTCCTGTGTATTCCTGTTATTAGGCACATGTCTGTGCCTGTGGCTCCTCTGGATGTGGGAGCCTGCTCCCCGGGCAGCTGGGGACAGGGTTTGGCCAGCAATCCTGCACCCTCATTTTCCAGCCATGGATGCTGCTCTATTTGGTGGGGTTGTCACCTTCTCTGCTTTCTTCTTTCCCTTCCTGATACACATCTGCTCCCCAAGAAAACCCCACCATCACTCCAGTCTGCACATGGATACTATGGGAGCTCATCTTCTGACTGCTGCTTCACACGGTCAGTATTTCAGTGTGGTTTCTTCAGAAGACCTCATCAGCTTTGCAAGCTGTTAGCTCACCGTTTTGGGTGAGGTTTTGCCCAGCCCCACCAGGATAATTCCCCATCTCAAGCACAGCAGGCCTCTCACTGATCGCAGGTGTGGCCGCTCAAGGTATCATCTTCTCCAGCATCTATCAAACGTCCTCTGAAACAACCAAGGGGTCAAACATTGACATTTTCAAGTATTTCACTGGACTGGGGCCACGGTGCTTAGCAGGACCAAGGCAGCCTTTGTTCTATGCTGGCAGGGAGATGGAGACCTCTCCTGCCTTTCTGTCTGAGGAGCACCAAGGAGAAACCCCTGTGTGTTGGATTTACAATGCAGCAGAGAAGGCAGCTTTATGCTTTCTCTGATCTTCCTGAGGAACACTGACCTTGTTACTACTGATAAAAATTCAATTAGGGAATAAGCTTTAGACAAAAGCTTTAGTCTTAAAAAAAAAAAAAAGAAAGAAAAAAGGAATTGTAATGGTTTTGTCTTCCTTGTAGCATGGTTTCTCCCCCTTCTGCTCTTTTTAGGAGGATAAATACCCATTGCTGTGTATTTGTTCAAGAAGACCTCACCACAAGCCCTCCTTCAAGAAGATGCTAAGGCATCTGCTGAACTTTCTGGTCATGAGCTGCTCCAGGGCTTAAATGCTGTTTCCCTTGTGCTTAAAGACTAGTGCGTGCTTAACCCCGCTGAACTGGGCCTGGATGCATCAGGCCTTGCTGGGCTGAGCCCCACACGCTTCGTTTTTGTGCTGAAATTAAATGCTGGGTGCATGTTGGTGTGGGCCTTTGCAGTGTACCCGGGGCAGTGGGTGTAGGACAGCTGGGATGGGTGCGGGAGGATGTGCAAAACAGGGTGGTTGCTGTCACAGCCAATTCCCACCCCGACAAAATAAGATAAAGCCAGCCAGAGTGGAGTGGTCCCATGCGCTGTATCGCATCCCACTGCTGGATGTGGATGTGGATGTGGCCCTTCCTTCTCCCAAGGAAAAAAAAAGCAATGTCCTCTTAACTCGGCATAAACCCCAAGTGAAAGCAAAACCCCTCATTTTGCATGCAAGCTGCCAGCCTGCCGTGCCTTCACCCCAATGTTATTCTTGGATGGAACAAATGTGTCCCTTCCCCTGCATCGCAGCGTGCTCCTGTGCACAGCTTTTCAGCAGAGAGGGGCAGTAGATGTGAAGACTTCATCCAGCTTCCAAGCGGCTTCAGGAGCCTTTTTTGGTCACCCTACTCCCTCGCCTCATCCTCCCCCTTCCCACCAGTGGGCACATCAGCGGGGGCCACCCCTGCTGAAGCGAGTGCCAGGGGCAAACCCAGCTCTGGAGCATTTCCCTGCAAAAAATACAGCAGCCGCAGGCTGCAGCGAGGCTCCTCATCTTGCCGTCGGGCGTAACTGCAATTTGGGCATTGCATTAGCTGCTCAGGTCGGGCTTGCGGGACTGTGCCAGGCGCGGTGGGTAGAGGAGCTGCGTGACATGCTGCAGAATGGCGTGGGAGGTGTTTCTGGTGTTTAAGGCAGTTCTCACCCTCCTCCCCCTTTCGGCTGTGCCGCCTCTGCCCACGAGCTCACAGGAAGGAGCAGGCTGGCTGGAAGCTTGGGATGGCAGCAGCTCCCTGCCCACCGGTGACCCAAGGGCTGCAGCCTTGAACACCATCTCCAAGTCACTGATGTGTCTCCATCCCCACCAGCAAGAAGATGGAAATAAAGTGTCTGGCAGCAGCAGTCTGCCTCTCAGTGGCCTTCAGGCAGTGGGCGAGAGGTGGTATTTCCCCACCATGGCAAGGACTTCTTCAGCATGTTGCTTTTTAAGTGGTTTCTTGGCATCCTTTTGAGGAGTGATGCACTTGTCTGCCATAGAGCAAACCCAGAAGCAGAACGGCAGGAGGAATGGGAAGGAAAATAAAATGCAAGATGGCTTCCAGTGTTCTGTGTCCATTTGAGCCTTAATAGCACTGATGGTCCCTGGTGTGGAGCAGCGTGGGGAGTGATGGGCCACAGGGCTCCCTCTTGGGCAGGAGGCCAGGTGACCAGCTAAATGAATCTCCTGGAGATGTCCTAAGCCTGCTGATGGCTTTCACAGCTCAGAAGCATGTTGGACAAAGACTTCATTGCCACAGGCTTAGTCTTTGGTTTTGTCCAAATGCATCATGGTCCTCAGCATGGAGAAAACCGCACATTCCTAAATGTGGAGCCTCTAGCAAAGCATGCTCTGCAATCCCAGCATCATCAGTGGGATCTTAATTGCAGAGACATTTTGGAGCCTTTGTTCCTGACATGGAGCCCAGCTGCACATCCCAAATAAACTGATTGCTGCATCAAGAAACATCTCTCCCTTTTCTTCCTTTTTTCTTCTCACCCTTCCTCTTTCCAGATGGGACATTGACCAGTTTTGATTTGCGGAGCAACTGGGTACCCCTTGGGTTGGTAGAGTTTCACCCATTTTACCACTGCTGAGACATTCTCCTTGGCTTACTGGGTGCTGTTGAGCTTTTACACTTTATTGCAGATTGGAGACTCTCATGATTCTTGTTTTCTTCTTCTTCTTTGCTGGCCCTTTGCTCTGCTGCTGGGATTTTCCACACAAGCACTCGGGTGATACACCCGGCACACAGGAAAGGGCCCAGGGTTTGAGATTTTCAACACTGCATTCAAGACACTTGTTTTATGCAGGATATCTTGGGTGGCTTGTGTGTTGAAAAGCTCGGCTCTGGCTGTTTCCATGTAGAGAAACAAGGACAGCGGGTCCCGTCGGGTCCTATTCTTGCTGCTTTGCAAGAAACAGCTAGTGAGGGACGGGACTTGTCTTCTCCAGACCTTCCCAAGGGTAACACCTAGAGAGATGCTGCTGCAAGTCTTGCATCTGGGATGAGATGTAAGGTGTAACACGACTAGTCCATGGTTTGTGAAGCTTAGCCTGTTTTCTCCCATTGTGCAAGTGTAATTTCAATATCAATAGTATCTTTTGCTCCTATGTTAAACTCTTGCTGAGGTTATCAGATGAGCTATTCTTGTTCACAGTAGCTGGTCTTGCGTTGCTCACAGGATTATGTGCTTCATTGCTTTTGCCTCGGAGATTGTGTTTTCACAATGAATCTATAAGGTTGCGTCCATCAGGGTGTGTCTTTACATAAAATAGTTTTGTCAAGCATTTATTGGACTCCCCCTGGAATTCAGTATAGGGGATGAAATTTATGAGATTAACAATGACAGAAGGGGAAGGGTTTCCTATCCTGCTTTCATGCAAACCTTCCAGAAAAGGTTGGAGGAGTTGTGCAAACTCCGTTCCCTATTTTTAAGGTGTCTACCCAGCTCTGAACTTAAATCTCCTAAGTTTAGAGATCCCCTGTGAATTATCAGTAAGACCGCCCTTGATTTATGTTATTCCTGTCTTCAAGTCATCATTTACAACCATCTGGCTTTTCCCCTTACAGGGTCGCGATTATTGTTCAGAAGAGGAGGATGTCACATAGTGCCAATTCTGCCACTCGCACCAGGAGTACTACTGTGTAAATAGATTACAACCCTGTCGAGACCTTTTGGAAGTCTTCTAGAGCGAACAGCACTACATAACAGAAGAAGATCATTTCCACATTATATGCTCCATTCAGTTACAGTGTTTCTTAATGAACAGATGAGGAATATTGCTAAGAACTCGTAAGGAACTGTTTTTGTTGCTGCTAGTTAAAACTTGTTGCAACTTCTCACTTTTTTCTGTGTCCAGATATGCAGCAAATCCTTAAAGTTAATCCAAAAGACATTGTTGATTTTATTGAGGCTTCTGGCCTGTTTTCTATCAGATGAGGTAGTGTTATACAAAGCTTCCATAAGTGAACATTCAAGCATCTAAGAAACACCCTTAAGCTGTCTGTCAGTCCGCGGTTGGGCCAGAGTGCTTATTAACGCTGGTGATTTCAGGCTTTGGAGATGGGATGTTTTTGCCATAGCAGGCCTTGTTTCTCTGCTGAGAAGAAGCTGAGAAACTGTTATCCATTAAAAGCATGTTATCACTGAAATACTGGAAGTGATGCAGGAGCAGGAATTTGTATTTTAAGAGGAAAAAGAGTTTCATTTAATAGGTATCTTAATCAAGGACTAAGCTTGCAGTATTGGCTTTGCTGAGCACGAATGGGAGTGTGATCACAATCATTTTGAATCTCTTTTTTTCTAAGAAAATAAACATTTTACTGTTTTTATGTATTCTTGTCTTTACCATTCCTACAACACAATGTTTTAAGAGTCTGGGGACAAGGAGGGCAAAACCAGCCCTCCACTTTGATGAGTCTGTGGTTCTAATCTCTTAAAGCAGCTCTGTGCCAGCTGGGGTTATCTGTTGTGTGTCCTGCAGAGTTTATTTTTCCGTATTATACAGAGAGGATATTACCCTCTCAAAAACAGATGTAATATTTTTAACAAATGCTGTCATGAATTTAAAAAAAAAACAACAAACCACAACTTAAGGGAAAAAAAATACACCTTTTGTATTTATTATTTCAAAGGAGATGATTGTTACCTGTGCTGATGTTTCTTCCTACTTTGACACCATATGAGGGCCAGGTTTGCACTGCATCCCATGGAGTAACTTTGTCAGGACAGAGGTTTCTGTATTGTATTGATTTCATTGCTCTGATGTGTATGATGTATGAGGAATAGACCATGAGATTGCATCAATGGCATCTTTTGCGGATGTGGCCGACACTTGAATGGGGCACTCAGCCCAAAGCCATTTAACGTTGGCCATTTTTCACAGGACCTTCTCAAGCCAGATCCCTTTAAAGGGTTTCAAGGCCCTCAGAAATCACCTGTGACTTCTGAAAATCTCTAAAATATTAGGGAATTTCTTGACCAAAGAGATTTTCTTCAGTGTTTGCTCCAAGTGGGGCTGGGCAGTCCATGCCAGAAGATTTTGTTCCCTGTCAGTGCTGTGCCATACCTAGAAGATGTAAAAAAAAAAAAAAGGCAGCAACTTCCTCATGCTTTCTTCCCTGCACTGGATTTTCCTTTGGCTTTTGGGCAGGGGATGGGGCAGTAGGGTAGGGAGGACCCAGCGGGGAGAGAGACCCTGGCGTTACTGTTACTCATGCAGGACTGGATGTGAGCACCTCCAGCAAGAGCAGCTTTCCAAACAGCGTTTGTGAGGCTGCAGTACCAAGCTTTCATCTTAAGGTAGAAGCTATTTCTGGACACTGCAGACTGCTCAATCCTCTGGTCTCCTGTCAACCTTGGTTTGAGTCGAGTGGTTGCTGTATTGCAGGATTGGGACAACTTAAGCGCTACCTAGCTTCAGTAGCCTTCCATATGAAAGCTCATTGACAGAGCCCTCTCCGGCCTGTTTCACTGTGTGCGTCTTTATCCTGTTGATGGTCAAAAATTGCCCCAGCCAATTCTGATTTTCCTAAATCCTTGCTGCATTTTGGCATCTGCTTTGGCCACGGCAGCTCTCCCCGAGCATCCCAGCCTCCCTGGAGATGAGGTTTCACCACCTTCCTCCATCACATCATCCTTCTCAGGGCTGTTGGCATCTCTCAGTGCTACAGAGCTGTTTGATCTGTTATGAATTCTTCAAGGTGATAACCCTGTTCTCTTGCATATGATTTTTTCCATAATTTATGTCAGCTCTCGAGCAGGTGGCCATACTAAGGAGAGTCAAGAGACTGCGCATTTCAATTATTTAAACACTTTAATTAATAAAGAGTCCTGGGGCTTGATCCCGCAAATCCTTTGTGCTTTATAAAGCTTTCGCAAGTAGTACAAGAGTGATGGAATTGGATCTGTCCTTTTGAAATATGGTTCATTTTCTAGATGCTGAACATCTCGTATATGAATTTCCCCAAACCCTGTGTTACAGACACATTGTGGTTTTTCAATACATCAGCCTCCTTTTACATGGAGTTTCTTTCAGCCACCTATTAGTTTTGATACTTTTTTTAAATTTTTTTTTTCCTTGCCGATGATGACAGCACCAAAGGTACTGGCCTTGGTGGAAGCTTTGTGAGAGAGGAAAAGCAATTCCCATCTTACCTGTGCACTTAATGTGACCAGCAGCAAGTGCTTTAGTGTTCTATATAAATTATAACCTCAGCGATGGGCCTTTAGATGATGGTTTTTGTGAATGCCTGGATAGACTGTCGTGCTGCTGGTTGTGGAGGCATGAGGATGGGCAGAAGGTTTGGAGGGCATCTGTAGTTGGTTTTGGAGTTAATGTGCTCCAGGCTGCTGGTGTGATTGGGGTGAGGGTGACAGATTTCGATTTGCTCTACCCTTCTGCTAGAAACATGAACAGAATTGAGGGTTGGGGGCGGAAGGCGGGGGGGTG